CCTGAATTGTTCTATGATTCTATGATCCCAAAATTGTCCTGTGACTGAGGAACATAAGGATAACCTGCAGCACACACGGGAAAAGCCCAGCACAACCTGGGCTGCTGGCTCATCATGTGATATAATCTCAGCATGACAGCATCACCAGAGCTCCATGGTAAATTTTTTAAGCAACCTCAATTGCTAACACAGAATTTGAATAAATACCAGCTTGAATACCTAGCTGTTCTATTGTTTATCGATAGCAGAATCAAAAACATTCCAGACTTGAATGTTTTCACCCCAAAGAAAGAATGTTCATTGCAGGCAGAGAGGTGAGGCAGCATTAGACTAATTGTTTTACTGGAGGTCCCCGAATATGTCTAGAGTTGTACATTGTCAACTCAGCCAATTGACACTTGGTCTCCTGATTCACAAGACTGTCACAGTTTCAGCTGAAATGCATAGTTAGATTTCTGTACTCTGTACATAAGAACATTGAAAGCTCCATTTCTGTTATAAATATCAAATATTGTATCTGATACTTGGTCAGAGGGTAACCTGATTAACAGCAACAACTGTTCAACAGTGTTCAACAGCTGATCAACAGTCAGCAGCAACAGCAAAATTGCACAAAAATTTTCCTAATTAAAATTATTTGTCTTTTACATACAAATGAGGCTGGAGTGTTTTCTCTTATTCAGGTACATTTGATATCTCAAAAAAGACATATAGGGCCAGATTCTGCAATCCACTCTTACAAATAGTAGTATCTTACTACATGCAAAGTAGGAACTCTCAAAGAACTACACAACACAATTTAAGATGGTAGAATTCTGATGTAACTTTATTCTTAACATATATTCTGTACTCTAGGCAATCATTTTATTACCCTTTTCTACCAACAGATACAGCTATAAAGGTACAGGCAGCCAAAGACAAAGCAAGACAAGCCAACAGTACTGCAAATGATGTCCTGGCCCAGATTAAAGACCTCAACCAGAATCTCCTGAGCTTGAAAAACAACTACAGTAAACTTACAGATGATGTGGCGAAAACAAATGCTGTTGTGAAGGATCCTGTCAAGAACAGTAAGATCATTTGTGATTTTTATTTCACTTCTCGAAGTGAAACAGAGATACTCCAGAATTTCACTTATATAGCGTTACTACAGATTCAGGAATAAAAGGAATCTCTATCAGTTTTGTTCTCTGGACTTTATATATAAAAAGAATTTTAGAACTTAAGGACTGCTGCTACTAGTTTGGAAAAAAAGCTAATGTCAGCAGGATGAATATGTATTGGATAGATTTGTTCTGCAGACTACTTTTTGAAGTATTTAGGAGGTGAATAGTCAAAGACTCTGGCTGACACTTCACCCCTCGATTCAAGCAATATTCCATTCACTAACCCTGTCTTCAGTCAGTCAGGTAATCAGTGCTGGGAGAAATACATAGCTTCTTTCATATATGTTACTATTTTGGGTACAACAGTGAAGACAGAAAGAAAGAGAAAAAGGAGATTCTGGGAATGTTTTCTTGTATGCTTTTCTTTTTGACAGTGAATTCTGTTATCAAAGGTGACAATAGTTTTTGCATTTTCACTTTGTTTATGATGGATAAAGTTGCATTTTAAATTACATCTCTTTTTTTGTGCTAGATTACTAGAACATATCATACAGGAGTATACAGCCAGGGCTCCCAGAAAACCAGAATGTCTTTACAAAATTACTGAAGGATTAATTTCTCAGCCAACCTGGGTCTACCAGATTGTTTTCAGCTTGCTGAAGCTGGGCACCTAAAAACATCCAGTTTAGGAGGTTATCATTCTCGCTCTATGGGCAAATCTGCTCTTCAGACTGTAACTGTACAACTGAAAGAAGTTAATCCCAACAGCTGTTTGTCACTGCCTGCCTGCTGCAAGCTCCTAATCCCTCATGTGTGTGAGCCCCAGGTATAATCCCCATCTGGCAGACCGATCCTTACTGGTTTAGACAACATGAAAAGTAGTTATTGATCGAAATAGCGTGGTTAGATTATGATGGGTTATGGAACAAGCAGATCTGTGAGGTAATGATCTCTGGCAGGGTGGTAGTAAACACAACTGGTCTAGAATCCGTAATTTCTTGGCACTGCTGAATCTAGACTAAACCATCCATCCCAGCCTAAGTATTGTAAGACGGTGTGTACATTAGGGTTTTAGCTGACACTACGAGTGAAAATTTAGAAGTGAATTTCTTGATTGTCCCCAGTCACCAATAATTCATTCACACTGAGGAGTGGCCTTACCACTTGAAAAATCTTTCATGTTAAATAAAGTTTAAATGAAAGATGTTCTCCAGAAATACCACTCTCCAACTGGTAACAGATACTCAGATTACAGAATGAGATTAAAGTATATGCAAAGTAAACCACTCCAAATGTATGTAGTGTGTTGGCACTCAACTACAGGCTAAAGTAGACACAGCCTCTCTCATGTCAGAATTCAGGTCCTTATTTCTTGTTATATGGATGTGGAACATACAAAAGGTAATAAGTTTTTTCTATACTAATCTTTGTTTCTTAATTTTACTTTAAATTTCTGGTTAGATATTCAAAATACTTTCTTATGTTATCTTCTGTTTTTCTCTTTTCTTTGTTTCTGTATCTTGCCTACAGAAATCAGTACGTACATTTTCTTTCTTGCTGCTTTATTGTGCCTTTTCCAGTAAACTGCTTACCACCAAAGCTTCTGCATGGTGCTCTACATTTCACATTCATTGAAATAGTAAAATAGTTACTTTTTGAAGGCTCTGAGCTAAAAGGACTTTGTAACTAATTTTGCTTTTGTGAAACCTTAAGAAGCATCTTGAAGGTTTGGCATCAATACTTGGGTGACTATTCAGAAATTACATACGTGTACTTTCATGCTCTATCTAAGAATTACAGTAATAACTATTATTATTATTGTTGTTGTTGTTGTTATTATTATTATTATTATTATTATAATATAAATGCAGATTTATCCCTTTCAGTGTCATGCACACAAACCCATACCCTTATGCTAGCCAAGTGCTGCAGTCCTTAGATCCACTGATGAATTGTCAAAGGTTATATGCTGAGTAGTATGCTGAGGGGCAAAAAAAGTCATTAGAAGCTTAAAGAAAAAGAGAGAAAAAAATATCCTTGTGAAATTATTAAATTCACCTGAAAAAAAAAGAAAATATTTACAGTTTGCTACTGCTGTTTTTTAATCTGCTTTCACTACACATGCAGAATTTTAAACTTGTGACCAGGATAGTCTTTTCCTAGTGTTGGCCATTACAATTAATTCAAGAATTAATATCAAGTTAATTCTAACCCTGTTTCAGAAATTACTAATGGAAACTAACCAGTTTTCTTTAATCTAGAATTTTTCTTCACAAATGGAGTTTAAAAAAAGGAAAGTAAATATTTAATTCATAACTGAATTTTGCTATGGTAAATGTTTTCCATTATTATCATCCTGACTTGAAGCATAGTTACTGCTTCAAAATCTTACTTTTAACACATGTGTTTTGCTTCTTGCTACTTCAGCTTAATATTCTTAAGTTATCGTATTCTGTTCAGGTAGTTTCCTAGTCTGTGTGTATCTTGTAGTAGCATATACAATCACCTGAGTATTGTATGTGCAGAATTTTCTTGGATTCTAGTATTGCAATGCATAATTATTCTCTGACACTCTTCTCTAAATTTTGCCTTGTTCTTTTTTATGAAGTTGCTGATGCAGATTCCAGTATTAAAACCCTAGAAAAGGAAGCAGATCGCCTGCTAGATAAAATCAAGCCAATCAAAGAACTTCAGGATAACTTAGGGAAAAACATTTCTCAGATAAAAGAGCTTATAAACCAAGCTCGGAAGCAAGCCAATTCGGTAAGCCCCTTTTCTCAGTAAAATGACTTTTTGAGTATTGATTGGATTTAATTTTCTGCCTTGTTCTTTCTTTCCCATAGGGTTAATACTTTCTAATTCTAAATGTGTGTAAAGAGAGCAAATAATTTAGTATAGTTTCTCAGATGAAAAGAGAATATTCTGATGATTTTCACTCTGTGTCTTGTTTCTTCATTTAAAACACACCCTTGTAAAATGAATAATGTCTGTAGGAATGGATCTGTAAAGGTTATTATTGAGGAAGTACTGTGGATGATAGTACAGCAGAAGAGTCACAACATCATTAATTTTTTTGTGAAGGCAGAAATGTACTTTTTTGCCTCAGCACTGATATTAAGCCCCTGATTTCATTTCATAGGACTTATATTACCTGAGAATGATGCCATTTCAAATGCACTGAAGTTACTGAGTGCAGTGCTTTTCCCATATTCTTGATTTTCTTTGTCCAGTGGCAGTTTTGAGGACTCAGACATGAGTTAAGAATATATTTCTAGTTCATTTAATGAGTTTGGATTCCATCTCCCTGACTCGGTAATACTCTGTACTTGAGGATCAGCTGGTTAATGCTAAGGTTGTTCAGCCTGTGACCTAGTGCAGCAAAGAAAAAATTATTGACGAAGATACTTAAGAAAACTTCCTGAAAAATGGCTGAAGAAAGAAAATTCACAGAATAGTAGGATCTTAGGAAAGAAGTATATTCCATATATTTGGTGAAATTTGCACACTATAGAAAGACAGACTACAGCGGTGATAGGTTTGGTTACGTTCATTGTCTGTCTGAAGGCTTTGAAGTACTTAACCACTCAGCATTTCTGAGATAGGGAAATTGCAGATTTTGTTGTATAATGGATCTCCTTTTTGTCAAAGTTTGCCCTAAGCATAAGGTGATACCACTATGTACATCTACTCTAATATATAAACATATCTAGCTGAAATTGAAATACCATCTTACTGTCATCGTGTCTGTGCTGGCATTATGAAAGCAAACAGTATACTGGTTTTTTCTGTGCTCAGAGCGTGAGGAAACTGGCACACATACCCAAATGCTTGTCACTCAGCTGTGAAAGAGAAACTTAGTTATGAATACCAGCTCCATTAGGGACTATACTAAAGCAGTGATAGACAGAACTATTGGTTTAAAAATAATTGCTAAAAGGTGTTTTAAATTGACATAATCAGAGATATTACAAGGTAAAAATGTATCGTCCTGCCTAGCCGACAGTGTTGTGCTGTGATCCCTTCAGGAGTGCTGCTTATTTTCCTGGCTGCGTATTCTACTTCCAGACTATCTCTACTGCTGGAATTCCACTGCTGCTTGCAGTAGACCAGTGTTTCTTCTAGCTATTTTTAATCCAACAGTTTGTCCTTTCAAGTCTGAATACCAGAAAGAGTTTTATATCCTTTTTAAAAACAATCCCAGACAGAAAATTTCATTTTTGCCTCTTGTGCATATCCAAGCAACTCCCTGGTACATGTAACACAGAAATGCGAAGGAAGAAAAAAAATTAATTATAATATTCTTATAATTATTTTGAAGCTTCTAAAGTTATTTCTTGAATAATAAGCAGTATACTGAATTCTTTCTGCTGTGTTTTTTTTGAAGATCAAAGTGTCCGTGTCCTCTGGAGGTAATTGTATTCGCACATACAGACCAGAAATAAAGAAGGGAACATACAACACCGTCATCGTCAATGTGAAGACTGTAGTTGCTGACAATCTGCTTTTTTACCTTGGAAGTGCCAAGTTTGTAAGTCTGTCTCCTGCTTTTCATGTCAGCGTTGCTCGGTCAGATTAGACTGCTGGCAAATACAACTGAGAAAGGTTTGGGGGTTTTTGTTTCCTGGAGGCTTCAAAGAAGTAGTAGAGCGCCTAAGATAATCTAGTAATGTCTTTTGTATTAATATAGAGACTTCTGAAATATGAACAGCAAAGGTTTTTTATATTTTTTTTATTTTAACTAGATATGAAATGGGAGACTTGTACATGGTTTACATTAGAGCTTTAAAATTCACAGTGCAACCAAGGTAATTTTGAGTGTTGGTTGTGGGTTTTCTCTTGGGAATGAAGTAGCTAATCACCTTACATCTGTCAAAGCTCTTATTTATTGTAATTTTATGTCAAGACTACAATTCCAAGTATAATAATGATGAATTATTCAGTTTCCCATGAGCCCTATAGCAGACAGACTTCTAGAATAATCAATAATAGTTCAGTAAGTGGGAAAAGTATTCTATTACTAACATTTTGAACTATGTATTTTATTTACCTAATACAAGAGGCTAGACAGCATCATATAACAGCCTAGAATTCTGACATCATTCTGCTGAAGTTTTACACTCAACATTACTCTGAGTTAAACCCTTATCTTGATGGCTTCAGTATTAACATTTCTGTAAGTCTAGCAGCCCTTTACTGCATATCACTAGCAGAAGTCATTTTTTATCTGTGGTTTAAGATGATTTGAACGAACAAAAGCAGGAAAAAGATAATCTCATTTTAGATTGCTGTGAAAATTAATATTCATACTTTCCTGTCTATATATAGGGTTTCTGATGCCTCATTAGACAACCTTCTGAAATGTAAAGACTTCTGGAAGACTTCCTTTAATTGAAGTATGACATTGCATCTGTTTTCATATTTTATATGCAGACTGACTTCTTGGCCATAGAGATGCGCAAAGGCAAAGTGAGCTTCCTCTGGGATGTGGGATCTGGTGTTGGACGGGTGGAATATCCAGATCTGACCATTGATGATGGATTTTGGTACCGGATTGAAGCCTCTAGGCAAGTATATATTTCACTTTCAGTATCTGGTTCTTAAAGAAAAAATGACTAAAGTTTCTAAGGCTTCTATTCCACTCTCCTCAGGTTAGCATATGAAATGTTTGCTGTGTTTGAAATATCAACTTTCTTTAAAAATTATGTCATAAATATGAGAAATTTTAGTCTGGTTTAACAAAAGCTTTTGAACCTACATCCAATAGTACCAGAAGTATATACACTACAATTGCTATTGTAATGTGAATTGTTCTGTGTCAAGAATTTATTTTCATCACATATTTACCCTCTAGCATCAACAATCTATGACTGCTTATATTCCCTTTCGTTTATATATACTCTCGATTTTCTTCTTCAACCAGTTTCCTTTTAAAACTAGTTACAGATTTTGGAACGCCAATGGGTAACTACTGTTCTTTTCTGCCTGAATTCCAAAGAGGAGCAGCTTTTCTGAATTTCTGGTCTTGATACAGTACTGCAAATAAATGGTCTGTCATACACCAGTATCTTGATTCTTCTCAAAGCGCTATTTCCATAGGCAGAATGTCTTTTCAAATTGTAGATATTTAAAAAGATACAGTTTATGAAAACTCATGGATGAAATGTTCTGGAAAGTTAAACTACACTTTGCAATTTGAGATCAAATGTTGAATGTTTTTGAACTTAAGAAATATCATAATATTCAAATTTCACATTTGTTAGTTGAAGTTTATATTTTCCATTCAAATAGCAAACATATGACATATGGTGTAGTAATTATAGCATAAGGATTACATAACTTTGTCCTTCATCTTCTACTTCTGAACAGATCCTAGTAATTTAGATAACATCATCTACATTGGAATTTGATATGAAGCTGAATCATTAAAGTTAATTTCAGATAGCATTAAACATACAACCAATAATATATGCAGAGAATGAGAGAACGAAGGAGAAAGAAAGCCAAGCACTCTAATTTTGGTTGCACCCATAGATCTCAGAGGAGGAAATGGCATGCCGTTTAAATAATTTAGTGAAATCACGCAAATCAGACATTCAGAGCAGAGAATTAAATAAAATTATTATACCATCTCCGCAAGCTGACTTAATGAATCCTATCACTAGGAAAATACAAGCTGGGATATGCTATGAATTGTTGAAATCTTCACCAGTTCATATTATGCATGCTAAAAGAGCTTGATGACACAGTAATGCCAGGCTTTCATTTACAAGAAAGCTGTTTCAGCAGAATACGGAGCCAGGACACAGTATAAAAATTCAGACATCCTACAAAACACATTGCCTATTAGGCTGGTTGTTCGGGATCTATAGGGTGTGCATGCCATTGGTTTTTTGCACAAACTGCTGGGTCAGCTATTTAGAACAATTACAGCTGCACAAATCTGAAGTACAGAGCAGTGTTTAGGAGAATTGCATTGCAGGGACATTAGTTGGATTTGTGGGATTAAGATGAAGAGTTTGGGACTGATTTTGTGTTCGCAAGGCCAACTTCATAAATTATGTACCCTGCTGAAGATTCTTCAATCCGTTTGCTAACTGTCCTCTGACTCCCTTCATAAGCTGTTGGAGAGTTTTACTCATGTTTTTTCTCCAAATGTTTGCATAGTTCCAGCCACAGACTTTTTCAGCAGCCTGACAGAGCTGCCTGAACAGCGGGAGAAGGGCGTCCAGTTACTACGGGGACATAAAATGTAATTCTGGCCTTGCTGAATTTTGACACTTATTTCAGTGGTGGCATGCGTTGCCACACAATAATAATGATATGGTAGTAGGTTTAAAGGTTGCCAGCAGTTCTTAATCAGGGATCCCAAAGGGCCTTAAAAAGAAGAGATGTGGTGGCATAGGGGTTGAGAAATTCTCAAGGTCACTCAGAATACTGAATGAAATCTAAATATGAAAAAACTGACTGTTGAATAATGATCGGAGGTATTCAATTCAGTTAACTTCTGCATCAAAATTTCGAGTGTGTTAAGAATAAATTGATGATTACTGTATCTGTTTTCCAGGGACACCTGTAATTTTCATCAACTTTTTATTTAAAGCATACTAATACTTTGTATTTTGCTGTATATACAGAGGTTATTATGGAAATATTTTAAGTTTTTTTATGGAGTTGAGGTGAAATCTGTTTATTCCTAAAAGAATACCTAAAGGAATTCCCTATATTTTGATGGTACAGGTATTTAACAAATGTCACTTACAGAGTTACCTGCTTACAAAGGCAAATCTGATTGCCATTAAGAATGGGGGCCTGTTAGCTCAGTGGTTTGAGCGCAGTGCTGGCAACAATGACCAACACTGAGGTCGTGGGTTCAATTCCCGCTCAGTTCCCATGTGTTGCCTGGTCTAGTTGAGAGGTGGCGTCCCTGCCCATAACAGGGAGTTTGGACTAGATGATCTCTAAGGTCCCTTCCAGCCTAGGCCATTCTATGATCCTATGGAAGGAGTGTCTGGCACAGCAGTATGTGACCAAACAATTTAGAGCAGGTTTGCAACACGCAAATAACATCTATTCTGTGAAGCAGCCAAAGGAGGACAGGATACTTTTGAGACTTGCTAGATCAGTGAAACAATGTCATTTGACTGCAGCTTATGTAGGAGTAGGACCTGATTAGTTATGATTTTCATCAAGTGTGATTTAAGTATTACTATTGTTTTGTTAGTGACAGAGTTTAAGCAGCACCCTTTGAGAAAAAAGGACCCTTGAATCACAAGTTCACTGTAGACACATCCGGTTCAGCTCATCAGTAATTAAACTACTGTGGCAAATCTAAGCCATGCTTTCCAATGAAGTTCTTTGCTTTGAAGGACCAGAGGTTTCTACCTGGTATTTTTGTAATATAATGTTGATGACTTGCAAAAGTCATCTCCTTTACATCATGCATCTCCTAAAGAGAAAACTCTGCATGCATGGCATTACATAAATTTTTCTGGTGATCAGTCACACAGCGCTGGTACGTCTGCTGTAATTCTCCATTTTGCAGAACTGCTATCACTAGAAAAACCTGATGACTTGTCATGCACAGGATAGCAGTGTCTTTTTGCTGTCAAGTTAGCCAAGTTCTTTCCTTAAGCTCAATTGTCCTCCCTAAATAAAAGAGAATTATTTATGGAAGAGACTCCATTGTTAGCACTTCAGCCTATTTGAAGATGAAAGACATCTGTGCTATTTGTGGCATATTAGACACCATAAAAAGTGTCAGTCTGCTCAGTGACTTCTGCATTATTGCACTTGGATGTTTTTAAACTGAAATCTTGATTTGAGCCCAATATAGATTGAAAGTGCCAATGACTTTCTTTCAGAGATCATCAAAATTAAAGTTTTTTAAAAAGTCTTTAGCAACTGTTAATCTTTCAACAGTTACTGCACTGAGACCTTGTACCCATTAGAGGGCTTCATATCAAGAAACCTTTTAAAAAAAAAAGAATAAAGTAAAAATTTGGAATTTTTGCTGAATAGAAAACCATCTATACTTAGCATTCAGTTAATTTTGGAATAGAAGATAAAATATTTTCATTAAAATTATTTTTTTTAAAAAAAAAAAAGCCTTTAGGATAATGCGGATGGCTTTAGCCCATTTCTTTAAAATGATTGAACATCATGTTCACATACCTCAGATGTCACTTAGGAGATTCCCTAAGAAAGGTCCCCTCCATGTGGCTTCCAGAGCTGCTAGATCAAGGTATGGGTGGGTCATCAAAGAACCCCAGTGTTTTTTTGCAAATATGCAAATATCGCCTTAAACCCATTGAGATCCCTAACTGCAAAGCAGACAAAATGGCGTAGATCTACAGTCTATTCCCCATTGACTGAAAACCCGCAAAATTTTCAACCCTGCTTCACAGTTCAGGAGAAATATTGTTGTTTATGCTGAGTATTCCATTGCTAGTTAATGTTGCAAGATCAGGCATCCATGATAGGAATTTCCAAATCAACACGACAGTGGTCGTAGGAAATCCAGCATCCTGTTCAAAAAATGAGATAAACCCCACCAATTTCCAAATTTATCCATAAATCCACAGTGATCTCCCTCTGCCTACCTCATCTCCCAGCCACTCCTCCACCACATCACTGAACATACTAGATACTTCATCTGCACATGCCAGAGTTTGGGTCACACTCCATGCTTAATTCTGCAATCATATTATGACCCCATAAGGAATTATTTGTTGATTATGGTCCATCTGTCCTAAGGAGCAGAAAACATACAGCTGGAGAAACTATTAAAAATTGTCAAATTCTTTTGCAGTTGATGTTGTTATCATCAATATTTGATATGATTCATAGAGGAAAATGAGGTAACATCCTTAAACTTCATGGTATTTGTGTCTGTTTGGTAAGTAACTAGAGAGGTCCACTGCAGAAAATGCAAAGTTTATGCATCACAATGAAGGGAATTCAAGTACTTTTTTTCACATGATCATTCATTTCAGATCAAATATAATATAATAAACCTTATGAAATTCAGAAATTTAATTTGCTACCTTGCCTGTATCATTAGTTATGTCAAGAAACAATTACTTAACATTAATTTCATCACAATAATTTTAAAAAATGCAGCTTCTTTGTTACTGTCAATGAAAATTCCAGTTCATCTGGATAGTGAATTTTGTTCGAAAAGGACATTGAAGTGAGGAAAAAAAAAAGGTTCTGTGATCATGTCTTTAACTAAGGGAAGCATTAGAATCTGTTCCTTTGTGTCAAAATGAAAAATAATTAAATCAGTAATACATGCCTATATTAAAAGATTCCATCTAAAACAGATTTTTCCTGCATTTGGTTTGACTGCTGACTCTGTATACTTGGCTTTTTTTGTTAAAATCTCTAGGACTGGGAAAAATGGCACAGTATCGGTGAGAGCTCTGGATGGTCCGAAAGCCAGCATTGTGCCGGTCACATTCAATGCTGTCTCTCCTCCTGGGTACACCATTCTGGATGTAGATGCTAATGCCATGCTGTTTGTTGGTGGTTTAACTGAAAAAATAAAGGTAACATCTTGTCTAGTGCTATTGTATTAACTAGCTATTTATGTAGACAGTTTTCATTATTGCTTATGGGAGAAACAGTAAACTTTAATATGGTGGCATCACTGTAGTAGGTGTTTTAGTAGCAAATAGGATGCCTGCACTCTTAAAAGATAATTGGGATTTGCCCGGACATGTAGGCACACGCACTTGAAGTTTCTCTGCCGGTGCTGTTAACTTCTAGCAAGAAGCCTGAAGACTGGCTCTACTGATGTGGCAGCATTTAGTCTGAACAACTAATTCCTGATGGGTAGCTGGATGCTTTACCCCGGGCATAGCTGCTGCCCCAAGAGGCTTTCAGTATCGTAGTGACAGGAACTCACTTCTATTTCCATACACTGCTGGTCTCATAAGAATATATATAACAATATATATTCCTTTGCATTCAGAGCTTTCTTCATTGTCATGCATCCACAGTGCCTTCTTCCTTTACAGCCTACTTCTGGCATTTCTGCTTTTATTTTCTTCATTTTTGTTCCTATTTTACCCTCTGTACTTACCCATCTTTTTGACTACTGCCTGCATCAGATCCCTGACCTATTTTCTCTTATTTTGCCTATTCATTATCTAGTGACTGCTTCTACATTGCTTAAATTAATGAGAACAAATAGATTTATGCTAAATGGAACAGATGGAAGTCTTTCAGTAAAAAATGTTCTCTAATAAGTACTAATTAGCCTTCTATTTTCCATTATAAAACAATTTAAATGAACTATTTTGTTCCTGATCAATATTTTGATTTTTAAAATATTAACATTACAAAAAAATTCCTTATTTAGCATTTAAAAACCCCTATTGTTTAGATTTTCTTGAACAGTGTACTCAACTTATTTTTCTTTTTACACCAAAACTTGTATATATCCTCAAGCATTGAAATAGCACTATATTCATAGGAGAATGGTCCAACTTTATAATTTTCAGAAAGTTCAACTTTCTAGATGGTTCTGATTTGGGAATATATGCATAGACGTATTCCTTTCTTACAGAGAATAGTGTGGGTGCACATTTCAAGACAAACAAAAACCGAAATTAGAAGATACGGGAGGACTAGACAATGTAGCTTCCACTGCTTGAAATCAGTGTCTTCTAGTCTAGCTTTAGCTTCAAAGATATCCAGATGTTTTGGAGCACAATCAGGTCACTTCATTTTAGAACCTAATTATGGCTTCTGCATACAAAAACAAACAACAAAAAAAGCAATTCTGAGCAGACTTGCACAACTACCAGCTAACTTAAATGAGGTAGTTCTGACTTTGACAAGCATTCACAGGGGCAGGAAAAAATGTTATGAGATATTGGACTAGGAAATTGCTAGTCCATATTAGTAGAACTCAGATCTGCTGAATGGACCCACAAAAAATCACAAACATTTTAAAGTTCTGAAGATGCAGATGCAGTCAATGTTATTTTTTTTGTTGAATTTTAAGAATGTAAATAACTGCTTTGTGTTTTATGTAATTTGATTTCTTATGAGAAATAGGCAAGGAAGTCAATTGAAGGACTTCTTGGATAATTACATATTAGAGAAAAAAGCATATCCGCAACCTGTTGTCTTTTCTCCTTACAGCCTTAAATAGAGGTTCTGGTTTGCTCTCTACCTCCCAGCTTTTTGTCCAGAGACATCTAAAGGTGTTTGCTTTCTTCCGTTAGCCCTAAACAAGAGCCCTCGAAACATATATAATGAATCATCAGTTGCTAAAAGTGGCTGTGTAACTGCAGTGATTAGTGACCCCTACAAAACTAGAATGGTCTTGCTGGCTTTTTGTACTCTGTCTCTTTGATCTTCTTTTTCAAAAGGAGTGGAAATAACACAGAGAGGTGCTTTATCTCCCACACCTAATTTACTGCTCATCTTTCTTTCATTCTTGGATTTTTGCTATGTTGGATGAATTTTAATTTCTACTGTTGTTTTCACCGGTAACAAGTTTAATTGCATTGGCGTTATGTCCTGTTTTTTCCTTGCCATAATAACTCAGTGGAATAAACACTCAGCTGAATCAGGACATTCAGTGCTTGCAGTGCTGTGTAGCTACAACGACCAAAGGCCCAAACACATCCCTCCATAGCAGCTCTGGGGCATCTGTGTGTCTGCCCACCTCACCAAAATGCTAAAATCTCATAGTCTGAATGCAGGCTCAGGAGAACAGACTGACTCAGGTAACAATAATAAGTGCCAGAATTATGATTAAATTAAAAATTTCGTGGTTACACACTTAGAAAAGCACTCGAGAGTCTCATTTATACAATATTTAAATTTTGTTGTATCAGTTGAGACCCTAGAAAATGCATGGTTGGGTGATTTTTGGCTTGTTGTCTTTGGGTGATCCCCCAAAGGAGTCATGAAACTTCAACCTCAGATGCTAGCCTAAACCCAAACCTTATTTTAATTTTATTCTAGATTTCACTTTTTAATTACTAGAAGTGGAGCAAGTACTGAAACATAGTAATACTTCTTATATTTGCACAGCTCTAGAATAGCTAACCTCCCAGACCAGAGATTACACCTGAATTCTACTTCAAAAAATATTCTTAGGTTTACATTAAGAATCCAGAGAATCTAAGATGAATTCAAAAATCCAGCAACCGCTGTTCTGTACCACAGCATAGTCTTGTGCCTAGTCCTAATTTCCTCAGCAAAGTGGTCAAATTAGACTAATAAAAATGTATGTATTACTTGATGCTACCTCTAGGTTTAAGTGTTATAAATATTTTATTCTTAAATAAGGAGCACTTAATATTACAGTTTGATGGTAGAAAAAGTGAAGCTAATGAGTAAAGATATGTACTGTTTGAGTAACCAGGCCCCAAAGCTCATACCTACCACTCCAATAAAAAATGTCACCACTCCTAACAAAGATCATTTCACTTAAATTTCACTGTCATAGAGAAAATTAGTTTGAATTTTAAAACATTTGATATATCTAATGCTTTTTCTTACTCTTTTACTTGATTTTACTTTATTAGTAGTAGGATCTAGTTGAGGTATTTATTTAATATTTAAATATTAACAGTATTTGAATAATATTTAGTAAAGAAGATTTGCTTAACAATGAAGCTTCGTGAAGCATGTGTTTAGGAAAAAGTTAGAGATTTAGCAGAAACTCTGGATGGAAAAGAGTTCAAAGACTCTTGACATTTCAGGATAAACAAAACGACCTGGAAGACAGTAAAATTTAAATTTGAACTCTTTCCTGAATGTTTTTTTTTCTCATTAGTTAGACACAGTGAGGCAGAGGTGAGTAGTGAGCACAGTTCAGCACATGAAACAGTTGTGACGTCAAGTATGAGGTGTGATGCAGAAAAGGAACTGTAGATGCTGCAAAAGTCTGATACCAGAACAACCATTTTCAACCTCAGTAAGACTTCTGATATTTTATGGAGAATTCTCCAGTTTTTCATCTTAGTCAGGAAAACCTTTTTTTTTTTTTTCCTTTTTCTCCAGATATTGTAGGCTTGATATGGCTGGTATATTTGCAGTTCAGGGTTTTTAAACACCATCGCATTTGCTTTGTTCAGACACAGTCTGTGAATGCAAGGATAAATCATTACTTTTCTGGGAATTTTTGTCATCATGTGGTTCACTTGTTAGGCTCACATTATGAAGACCTTAACTGAGACTCTGCAAAAACCATGAGGCTGTTTGGACATCTATTAAGGTCACTGGTATTTTTTTAAAACTTTTTCTCAGAAATCTGCTTCTTCATAGTGCTAGGTTTTGAAATGCTTTAGATTTCCTGAGATTTTGTACATAGCCCTTTTTGCATGCATGTTTGCAACTTATTTCAAACTAAAACTCATTTTCACTTTTAAAAACATCTGTCATCTGACTTGAGTAGAACGCTATGATACTTAGATGTCATGAATTTGTCAGAAGTGACATTAAGTTCATACTTGTTGCTAATTAAAACCTTCCCAATTACCGTGGGGAATATCACTAGCACATTAAGTCTTTTGAGTCATACTTTTCCTTAAATATTTTCAAGTTGCACTTCTCCATATTCTCTTGCAAGATCTTAATATTTGTAATTGCTGTATGGAAAACAGCAGGTGCTTGTCTATCTCAAATAGCTAAGTATATAGATTTTCAATCAGCTCATATTGATGAAGAGAAATTTAAATGGAACTAGGTATTTTTAGAAGGATAATTCTGAGCTGAGTACTCTGTGTACTGTCAAATATCACTATCTTGATCATGATACCATGTTATGATCTAATGAGCATTACCCCATGTGCATGACCCCAGGTTAATGAGTTTCAATAGGATAGGAGTTTTAATAGCTTTTATACCTGCACTTTTTTCTGCATCCATAATCCAGCATGAACTTTACAAATTTAGCCAGTTGAGTTCACAGTTGGTCTTTTAGCTTAGATGATCCGCTCAATTTCCAGGCTTTTTAGCATTAAGTATGGTAGAAATACTTTGCTTATTGTATTGTGGGTAAGATTCCTCACAGTCTTTTCTTAACCAAAATAGAAATAGACCTTAACCAAGTGGGAGTGGGCAGCTGTCTGATAGCCAGGAAAGTCGAGAGTGACGTGAAAGCCTGAGTACCGTCTTGTTCTCCAGGAATCATTGTGCCTAGGCCTTCTCCAGAGTATTAAATTTAAATGGGCTTTTCCATTCTGGCTGATACAAAGTTTAGCTCACATTTTTGCTGATCAGTTGTTCTACAGAAGAGTTTTGCAGATTAAATACTGCCCTTGGTATTTAAAATAATAAGAAACATTTTCTGGTGTTTGTGATTTTCATGCCCCTTACGCTTTCAGACATTTTTATACTTTCAGACACATCACTCCAAATTGAATTCTAGTGAGGCTTGTATTTTCTGTTGCAGAAGTCTGATGCCGTAAGAGTAACCACCTTCACTGGCTGCATGGGTGAAACCTTTCTAGACAGCAAGCCCATTGGACTGTGGAATTTCAGGGACATCGAAGGTGACTGCAAAGGATGTGCTGTCAGGTAGGTAAAGCACTGACCATTCCTCATGCTCCCTCCTGAACCCGTCTGTGGTGATTAGCAGGAATTCCCCAGCAGCCATCAAGTTCCATTAGACAACTGTGGTCTGTACACAATGCTGAGAGTTGTAGGAAACATGAAGCTAGGTTGCAATTACACCAGGAGGGCAAGCACCTAATCTGGGTTGTAAATGTGCTCAGTGTTTTAACAGAATTAGGACAGTGTAACAGTGCTGTGATGCAAAGACTCCTGTTAACGAGTAGGCAGGATTACTCAAAACATGGGAGCGTGAGGTCCATAGTGGGACTGAGTCTGGCTCGTGGACAGATGTGCTGTGGGGCAGAGTCACGTGCCTCAAGGCAGCTTTCACAGCCACCACCATAGTAAACAGAGATGCCCACAAGAAAAAGGTGTTTCCATTCTGGAAAGAGAATGGGAAATCCTCTCTCTGACAGTGACCTGTGGTTACAGGTTGGGTAAATGGCCCATCTAGGCAGGACCAGGATTATAGACTCAGAACTCTATTCATGAGTTTTAAAACAAGATAAGTTACTTTCTTTGCAGATGTGTCCTTGTCCTTGGTGAGCTGGATCTTCATTCCTCTTTGCCACCAATCTCAAACACTTCCCTGTGCCATGTCTCCACTTCAAAAGCTGAAGCTCCACCTGACACTACAGCACAGTCCTAGGAATTGGCATGTAAAGAAGACAGATCTGGGGTCGCTCACATCCCTGCTTATGGCTTTCACGGAGACCCACTTCATAAAACCAGCATTGTTCTCTTACATGCTCCTGATTTTTAGTGAATTTGGCTGTATCAGCATATGGTATAGAGCTCTCACTTCATTAGGCAAAATAACCTTAGACCCAGTCAGGGAAGTTGAGATTAGGCAAGTTTTCAAACTAGCAGCCTATTTTGACAACCTGCTAGCCCTTTGAAATTGAAGGAAATTCCAGTTGTGAAACATAACAATTTTGGAAATACCAGAGGATTTCCTTGGCTGCAACTTTAGATGCTTGACGCTTAGGTGAAAATTTAAGGAGCATGGTGATAGATATAGGCATTTCAGTTCCGAGCAAGTCCTAATGGAAATGCCTAAACCTTTATGTACGCCTCTTCCTAAATTTAATTTTATCATTCATTAGTGGTAGTGTAGGGATATTTGCTTGGAGTAGGAGTGGGTGAGAAAAAAAAGAAGAGTACTTGATTTGAGATTTGTAGAAAATTGTATTAAAAACTCCCTTTTACCTTAACCCATTGTTCCAGTAGCAGAAAGAGACCTGTTCTGAAAAATCTAATTACAAAAATGTAACCATTAAATGTAGCTATGGAAGGTGAGAGGACTACTACGTTCAAGAACGTGGTATGTGTGCCAAGATAAATGGGAAACATGTTCCTAGCCAATATTTCGTATGTAGGTCTCTTGTTCAAAATCAGTGTTCACGATTAAACCAAAAGATTGTTGTCTTACAGCTATCAGATCTGTGTGACAGAAATGGACAAAGAGTCTATCAAAAAATCGTATTGAAAAAAACCTCAGGCCTTGATCTTTTCTGTTTTGTAGTGACAGCAGTGCCAAGAGCTGTGGAGGGACTGATGCTTCTGCTCTTGCAGAATTTGTGGGTAAACAGTGAATCACAGTTTCCAAAGTTTTCAGTCTGAGTTCCTCCAAAATCACTAACATTAAGAAAATCAAGATTTATTAGGGGATGAAAGAGCCCATAATCCTCTTTTACACTGAAGATTACAAAATGAGCCATGACAGGCCATGAGATATATGCAACATATTCCTCTTGCATCTTCCTCCAGATATGCTTTTGTGTTGGGCCTTTACAGCTTTACTTGTTAGAACAGGAGTTTGATATGATATCAAGCCAAGTGCAAGAAGACTCCCAAGAGATGTCCCCTCACTCCCCTGGCCCCTGTATTCTTTTTCTTTTAACCTCATATGGCAAAGTAAAATGGTTGCAATTGCCTCTTTTCAGTCCACAGGTGGCAGATGGTGAAGGGACGGTCCAGTTTGATGGTGACGGCTACGCCATGGTGAGCCGCCCGATCCGCTGGAACCCCAATATTTCCACAGTCATGTTCAAATTCAGGACCTTCTCATCGAACGCCCTGCTGATGTATCTTGCTACTGATGACTTGGTAAGAACAACCAGCTCATCTCCACGCTTCTTACAGGTTTCATGCCATCTTTGCAGTGGCTGGATTCGTCATATTATGAAAACAAATAGTAATTTAATGTAGCACTATCCTGGTATGATGTTGCCTGGTATACTGCTTCACTGCTGTCCAAAAGAAGAAAATGTTATAGAGTGAAAGCTGACTACTTGCTGTTTACAGACTAGGGATTGTTGTGTTAGACTGAGGGGAATGTCAACTTTTCTGAAATTATTAATTAATTATCATTTATCCCGAATGGTTACCTGTACAAATATTGTCAGCTGTGGTTGCACATTCATAGTTCAAAATACTGTAGTGTGAGGGCTGAGAGGATATGGAAAGAGACAAGTCTTAGATTAAAGTCTTACTTAGCTAAAGAAAAAAGTTTCTGTTTACTGTGAGTGGCATTAAAGGGGAACTGAATAGTGCAAAAAAAGGAATGTGATTGTGATGATGTTTTTACAAGGTCTACAAATGGTGCCTTTTATGGCTAAAAGAGAAATTAGAAACATGAGTTTCTAACAGCTTTAGCTGTTCAAAGTTATTATTCACACACACAATCAGATATGTGTGGATAGCCGGGAGAAGTTATTTATAAAGACACTTGGCCAGATCCTCACATGAATCAGGAATAACTCAGCTGCACCATCTCTGATCCAGCCTGATCTGCATGCCTAACTGGGAACAGAGTCCTTTCCTTAGCCAGAAATTATGTACAATAGTTCTCACTGAGGTCTTGAATTGTTGCTGAGCACTCACTATTTTACAAAAACTGAACTGTGTTTGTGTAAATCAGTCTTATTTGGGATTCCGGTATTTTGGGAAAAAATATCAGAACTGCTTGAATTATCAGGAGGAGGATGCTCCTTGTGACTGACTATAGTAAAAGATAACATTTTATTACGATACTGAAGTGCTAATGTAGTTTTTCTAGTTAATTTTTATAATTGAATTTTGATAGTATAATTAATGTAATGATTTAGGATGGTTTTGTGTAATTATTTTTTATAACTATTATTAGTTTATCTAGTTTTCTAGAAAAAAATATTTATTTGATCTTCTGAAAAACATGGCAAGCTGAAAGACAACTGGTCCCTGACATAATTTGTCTCTTAAAATATTGTCCCACTGTTTAAAAACTTGGAAGATGATTTCTAGTGATGCATGGATAGACATGCATAATCATCTAGAATGCTGAATTTGTTATATTTTACTCTTCTTAACATAAATTTATGTTTATACACATAACATTGTCATTGTAGTTTTGCACAAGTATTCAGCATAAGGTAAAGTATTTTCATTCTCCCTACATTTGAGCACAGGTGGAACTGGGCATGAGGAAAATTATAACTAAAATTTCTCTGGTTCTTTCATTTCCTGGGTTACCATTACTTACTTAATGCCTTTCATACTATCCAGTTCCCTGGCTATTTGTTTTGCTCTTTGTATCCTGCCAGACCTTTTTCTGTAGATACTGCAAAATGTATCATTGTTCCAGTCAGCCACCTCCAGTTACTGCCCAGATATTGGTGTCAGTGGCTGATGAATAACAAAGTTCAATGCTCTCTGCTACTCCATCAGTACAGATTACTCTCTGGACACCCTGCTAAAACAAACCTGTTTTACCATCTTTACTGTTCTTGTTTTCTACCTTGCAAGTTCAAATCTAGTTGAGACATGTAGTAAATTCACTGGTAGTACAGACGCAAAGCTGGGTATTAGTTTCACATAATTATAATGTGTATTTCTGTCTTCAAAGAAAATAAAAGTGCAGGCATCCCATCAAAACCCCAGCTAAATTAGCAAAATTCCAGCTAAGTTAGCAATCCAAAGGAGAAGTAAAGCGGAAAAAAGAACTTGCTAGCTGCAGATTTGTGTACATTATAGTCCTGTACAGTAAATGCCCAAGTATTGTTCTTAAAAGCTTGAAATAAGTCACCTAGGAAAAGAAAAGTATTTCTCTAATGTCATATGCCTTTTACCAAAATGAACAAGAATCATAATTTGTATCTCATCCTTTTCATTAACAGAAGGATTTCATGAGTGTAGAACTCAGTGGTGGGCGTATAAAAGTCAGCTACGATCTGGGTTCAGGTACAGCTTCAGTTACCAGCAACCAAAATCATAATGACGGCAAATGGAAATCTTTCACCCTGTCAAGAATTCAAAAGCAAGGTGAGTTCCTGTGGTGTCAATACCATGACTTTCACAGTTACCTGTGCAGTACAGCTAACCATCTAATTATGGGGAAGATGTTGGGCAAAATTGCTGCAATTACAAAGTTCTAGTGATTTAGCAACTTCTTTTGCTTAGATTACTGGTGTTCTGAGTTCTGTGTGGGTGATTGCAGGTAGCTTAATTTTCAGGCCTAATTCTGCTTTACAGTTGCATAAATTACATTCTAAAATGCCTCGAGTGGGGAAGAAGGAAACTTTTTCATCAGTTTCCTGATATTGTTCAAAATCATAGAACAACCTGTGCAACTTTTGTTAGGACAGCAATAGCTTTAATGCCGTACGGTCCTCTCATGCTCAGCATGTCCCAAAGCTCTACAAAGAGCAGTTTCCATAGTGGAAGCTTGTCTACTGTAGGCAAACTACCACTATGGAAACCGCTTTTTTGTGGTTTGTATACAGTCGGTAGACAAACTCAGTAAAACTCAAAACTTTATATTTGCTAATGATATGCAGTGTGCCATAAAATCTAAACTAAATCTGCGTGGAAACAACTGGGAACGTCTTCAAAAGTGCTACTGATTCTGTAACCTGTTACTGGAGCAAAAAGTAAAGTGCTGGATTTGATAAGATCACAAAGAATGCTGGCTATCATGCTGGCAAAACCTTTTCGTTTGTTTGTTTTCAGTCTAGTTATAGGACTGGTAGAATCTTAACTGAGCCAAATTAAATTTTATTTATGACATCTGTGACATGTCTGTGCCTTTATATCATGAAGTCTTACTGCATTCTGAACCTTCAGGGTCTCCCTGGGCCC